GCTGCGCGTTGCCGGCCGCGAGGTTTAGCACCTCCGCCGTCACGTTCCCGCTGTTGACGGTGGACACCACCTGCAGGTCCCCCTGTGCCCGCACGCCCGTGCTGCCGCCGATGAGCTCCTGTTGTGCGCGGATGCGCCCTGTTGACGATGGTGCCTCACGAGCCGCCCGTGATGGAGCTCCGTGTTCTGCACCCGCGTGGAGATGGCATTGGTCACGAGCCGCGTGGCCGTGCCCACGTCGTCTATGTCTATGTGCAGCTTCTGTTTACGAGCAGCTTCCGGGCTGGCGAGTGCACCTCCGACGTGGCAAAGGTGCAGAGACTCTGGTCCACCTGGATGCCCATCGCCTGGCCCATCAACCTTGGCTGCCCTGGTTGCCCAGTCGCAGAGGACCTAGGCCAGTTGCATCTTTCAGCTGTTTCTGCAGTGTCCAAGTGGACACAGCGAATGTCAAGTTCAGGTTGTTCTCGTTTTTTGTTTGCCATGTTGGCCAGGGCCTGCTGCATCATCTGCAACATGGTGCCCAGTGCCCCACACTGGTGCTTTATATTACAGTAAGCATGTGATAGCGGCGGCCTGCCGGGCAACTCTTCGCTCCAGTCGGGCCGTGGAGTCTTCCGCATCGTCTTCGATCCACACCCACCCTTCTGTAATCATCCAGAGCGAGCGCATGATTAGTATCCCGGCATGTTCTGAATGTCACGGTGCAGGTTATGCGCGGATTGAAGAGCCACGGCGAGTCCAGGCGCTGCAGGGCAGCTGTGGATCAAACCTACTGCGAGGACGAAGCGGGTTAGGGTGCCCTGAAACAAAACCACACCCAAAAACAAAAACAACGCTCAAGCAAACTGTTACGAGACTACTGCTACAAAGCAAAACCGAGGAATAAATCCGCCAAGCAAACCCTTTGCGCCCCGACACCCAAAAAAGGAGACAGCCCGGGCCCCCAGGCTGGGCCTGTCAAAGAGACGAGGGAGACAGCAAGACAATGAGACAAGACGAGGGAGACAGCGAGACATTGAGACAACGGCTTTCACCAGGATCTGTCCCGCCTACATGCCCACGGGCCCAATTGCGCTTATTCTAAACGCCCGCGGAATAGCCACAGGCTCGCGCCCAAATACCCACAAAATCGTGCACTTGCCACAGTCCGGTGCAAAGACCCGGCAAAGCCTTTTTGACCCGCGGGTGCCTTCTCGGAGCCGGCTGTGCCGCTTTAGCCGGCTTAGCAATTGCGTTGAAAATCGGGGGCGTGGCTGGTCCGTGCCCGGCGATTCCCTGTGGCTGTGCTCGACCCATCCTAAACCCTGACCACGTTCCGAGGCTTGCACCGTTGGGGAACGGGGACGGGCGAGCTGGGCGCTGCATGGCATTTAAGGTCCATGGGAGTTTGGAGTGAGTGAACCTGTAAAGTTTTTCTACTACCTGGGAACCCCACCTACCAACCCAAAGGGTTGATGAGCATGTGTGGATTTGTGACTCATGTTTTACCGACAGCGCCTTTACCGGTTCAAGGAAAAAGAGCGACTTGAAGTTTAGCATGGTAGCGGAGCACACTGTGCATCCGGGACCGAAGCCATGCCTCGTGGCCGTGATGATGGTTTGGGTTGGAACCCTGATGCTGTGGAGCCAATGGAGCCCACAGAACCTACAGAGCCCATGGAACTCACAGAACCCATGGAGCCAATGGAACTCACAGAACCCATGGAGCCGATGGAACCCGCAGAGCCCATGGAAGAAGTGGAACAAGAAGAAGAAATGGAGCCACGAAGAAAGGAGATCAAAATTCACCGTGTTGGCATGGGAAAAGGCTACGGATCTTCAGCAACCAAGCTATATGCCTCCAAAGCCGAAGAAGAAGCCCGAACGACCAGTGGTGGAAGGAAGAGATTACATTCCCTTGGAAGGAGGAGAACCAGACGGGCCAGTGGAGATCGGGAGTCCTAGTTCCTCTAGCCCCGAAACTACAATGGTGTACCAAGAGGCACCACCTACACCAAGAAGGGAGCCGAGAACACTTTCGTCTGGGCACATCGCCTTGGAGCTGCAAGAGCAGCAAGTGTCTGCTGAGCAACGCAGGCGTAGGCAGCTGGAGAGACTCTCTGCACTCTCAGCGGAAGCTGAAAGGATCCAACGGCGAGCAAGGGAGCGAGCCTTGCAGGAGCCAGTTCGGTTTCCAAAGTCAGGAGGGCCACCGCCACCACCAGCGGGCCCAGAACCACTCTCCACCGCCAGGACAAGAACGAGCTCCAGAGTGTCCACCTCCGGACCCAATGCCGTGTGGTACGAAACTTCCTCTTCACACGCTGGACGGGGAACCCAGCAACGCAGCAGTGGCGGAACACATCCGCCGGAATGAGGAAGAGTATGCTGCAAGACGTGCCGGTGCAATTCCTTCAGGAGACGAAGCAAGAGCCAGGGAATCCAAGGAATTTGCTCGTGGAGTTGCATACTTTCGGGCCAGGTACGGCCAGCGAAGCCAAAGCAGTGGAACAGCGAGTTCCAGCCGAGACACGGGGCCTGGGACCCTACAACCCAGGACGGGGCCTGGGACCCTACAACCCAGGATGGAAGATGCGAGAGCTGAACCAGGGAGCAGTTCCAGAGGACCACCTCCGAAGGAACGACCTGCTGGAAGCAAGGCGCCACCTCCAGAGCCAAAGGGACCACCACCGAAGCGAGTGGGAGCAACGCAAGCCACTACGCTCTACCCGAATTCTCCTTGGAGGAGAACAGAAAGGAGAAGAATGCGAGAAAGGGGCGAGGAGCCAAACCCTGGAAGTGAGGAAGATGAATGGGGAGATTGGTCAGGACAATGAGGTCGACTACCAGAAGGAGAAAGCAGAGATCGACTACCAGGAGGAGAAAACAGAGATCGACTACCAGGAGGAATCAAAATTCTATGGCCTATGTACAAACAAGAGCCTCTACTCCGACAAGACTATGAATGGAACAAGAGATCCATTGGTGATGTGGATTTGGACCAGCATTCCAGGAGCAAAGAACCTCTACGACCCCAAGACTATGCAATTCGATTACAATGGAGCAATGGCAATGATGCTTATGCTTGGAGTATCAGGTGCGATCATGTTGTGCATTGGATGTTTGCAAGCGACAGTGCACTTGCAGTCATGTCGTCAGTCATGTTTGTGGAGATTGCAACATTCATGTTTTCGGAGGCGCTTGAGCAGAGGGGCACGGAGAGATCACTTGCGTTCGTGTGCTTGTGTGAGAAAACAACAGAGAGGAGCGATGCTGTGTGTGCTTGTCGTGTTACAGTTTTCTGCAGTGCAAGGGATGCAGCAGAATGGACCACCCCAACAACCCACAGAACTTTCTGAAATTCTGACTGCATTGACAAGGGCGACCCAAGTTGGAATGAGTGCGCTACAAAGGTTGGAGCAACAAGCAAGCAGTTCGGATGATCTGAACCGAAGGATTGAAAGTGCGACAAAGGCGATCAAGGCACCAGATGTTTGGAACCCACAAGCCTCGGGAGAACATCCACCGGATTTTACAACCTGGAAACATCAGTTTCTGAATTGGCTAGGTTTTGCCGATTCGCAGTACTCAGAAGCTCTAAGTATGATTGAAAGTCTGGGAGCAACGCCGATCGATGTTTCGACTCTCACTACAGTGGAGAGAGAACTTTCGACAAAGCTTTACCACATACTGACTTCGTATATGCGGGGGGCAGCAACGCAACTGTCTCGAAATTGGAGCAGGGAGCGATGTGGGTATCGTCTCTATCAAAGTTTGCTTTGGGAATACCAACCAGCCACCAAACAACGAGCTCTAACCCTCAGTCAAGCGATTGGGATGTTTCCCAACTTCGATGGGGCCAAGAGCATGGTGGAGCAGATTGGTTCACTGGAAAACCTTGTTCGGGAGTACGAGATCGCTTCAGGAAAGACCTACGATCGAGATTTGTTGATGGGAGTTTTGCTTCGATGTTCACCGAGGGCGATTCGAGACCACCTTACTTTGACAATGCCCGAAGGAACAAACTACATGTCAGTGAAGCAAGCGATTCTTTCATACGAGCAAAGCAGCAAAACTTGGGATTACCAGACGGTGTTGAAGCAAAAGACCTTGCAGAACACAGCGAGCAGTTCGAATGCAGATCAAGGACCAGCACCAATGGAAGTGGATGCAGTGTACGAGAAAGGAGGAGGAAAAGGAAACAAAGGCAACAAAGGAAACAAAGGAGGAAAAGGATCCTACTCGTGGTCAAGCTTTGGAGCAGGATTTCGCCAATGGAGAAAAGGTGGACGAAAAGGAAGCTACAAAGGAGGAAAGAAAGGACGAGGCAAAGGTTTCCACAAAGGAGGAAAGAAAGGCGGAAAGAAAGGTGGAAAGCATGGCAAAGGAGGAAAGAAAGGTGGAGGAAAGAAGTTGGACAGAGATGTTTGCCGATTCTGCAAGCAGCGAGGACATTGGGGAAACGAGTGTCCAAACCGCAATGTTCGAGAAGTGCAGGCGAGCGAGGCCAGCACCGAGGTACCCCACTCGACAGTCGAGTCTGTTACTCCGTCGCAGAGTGCGAGCCAATACAGGATAAGGAGAGTGAGGAACATTGATTTCCATCACATTGCGAACACACCACCTGACGGCACAGAGCACTATGAGCTTAGCGAGTTTCAGAAGAAGAAGGTGATTGGTTCACCAGAAGGATAGAGGTGCAAGGACCAGAGTGCTACTACATCGGGGATGAGAGTGAGAACAAACAAGATCATGAGAGTGATGAGCTGTATCAATGGTATGAAAACAGCTTGGAAAGAGTTCAAGGAGGATTGGGACCTCCAGGAGGATTGGAACCTCTGAGTCAGGGAGGATCGGAACCTCTCAATGTGCGAATGGTCCAGTTGGACACAAAGCAACATGTGGTGATCTTGGATTCAGGAGCAGATGTGAGTTTGTTACCACGAAGATTGTCGGATGCAGGCGTCGAAGTTTCGACCCCAACCTCTCTGAGGTTGCAGGACGCACAAGGGGGTGCGATGCGAGTTGAAGGTATGCGGCGAGCAGTTTTGCAGTTCAGTAGCTGCAGTGTGACTGAGGACTTTGTGTTGTCGGACACCAATAACATCTTGCTGTCTTTAGGAAGGCTACTCAAAAATGGATGGAAGTTTGTGTCAGTGGGATGCAAACAGCGCCAAGGGGGCGAGACCTGGGGAGAAGAAACCCAGGCGGGGGAACTTGTATCTCCCGATGGTAAGGCACGGGTGCCTGTGGAATACCAGAGGAATAGCTTGAGATTGACAGCGGAAGTTAGAGGAGTCGAGCAAGTCAGGGCAGTCAAGGTGACTTTGGCCTATGACTTTGGTAAAGTCCCAGAGAAGGATTGGAGCCTTCTACCGAATGGAACGCCAGTCCATCGCCATTTTGGACTTGAGTTTGTAAAGCCACCGACAGGTACTTGGAAGTACAGGACCACCATCGTGAAGGTGGGCAACGAATGGGAAGTGATTGAAGCAACAGAATTGCTCGAGCGAAAATCCGACTTGGAAGATCGAATACCGGGATTGCTTTTTCGATCAGAAATTCTCACATTCTTGCACAGGACACCAGAGTATCTGGACAAGTGCTTGGTAGAAGAGGTAGCGCCAGAAGAAGCACCAAAGGAGGAAGAAAAGAAGATGGAAGAGGAGCCAGAATGGTTTGGAAGAGAAAGAGGAGCTCCAGAAGAGTTGCAGGTGCCAGTGCCGAAAGGAGTTGTGAAGCAGCAAGGAAAGGCAGGAGGACACCAAGAGTTGGAACTCGACATGGGAAGTACTATTGTGGTGAATGGAGAGTCACTCACAGCAACGAGTGAGATTGAGAAGCTGCGAGAAGGTTGTCGGTATTTGGGTTTGAGCGTCTCAGGGTCAAAGGTGAAGATGTTCAGGAGACTGTGCAACTACCTCACCGAAGACAGAGATGAGGACGCAGAAGAAGTTGCAGACAGGCTGAGGAAGCAAAGGCCCAAAGCAAGAACAAGACCCGGAGTGCCCGAACCGACAGAAGCAGAGATTGAAGAGCATATGGCAACCCACATGCCAATGCAACCATGGTGTGATTTCTGTGCAGCAGCAAAGTCGAAACAGGACCATACCCCACAAAGCAGTGAAGCAAAGTATGAAGACCCAGGAAAGCCAGTGATCCAGATGGACTTCATGTACATGGGTCAGAACAGTGTGAGTCTGATCATTCTTGATTCATGGACTCGATTTTCGTGGGCGATTCCAGTGCCGGGGAAAGCACCGACGAAGAAGTTGGCCGAGAAAGTGGTGAAGTTTTCTCTCGAGATGAACTACATTTCCGAAGAAGTTCTGTTTGCGATTGATGTGGAGCCAGCGACAACAGCCTTACTGGATTTGATTGTAGCAATACGACAAAAGTTAGGCTACAAGGCTGGAAAGTATCCAAACAAGCCCTACCACAAAGGAAGAACAGCGAGAGTGGAACGCCACATTCAGAACCTCAGGAGACAAAGCCTCACGATGATTGAAATGGTCGAGGATCGGATTGGGGAAAAGATTCCTGAAGATCATGCTTTACGAGCGTGGGCAATTCACCACGCAGCATGGTTGTTCAACAGGTACCACCTACACTCAGGGACGCAGAGTACAGCTTTCCAATTGGTCTACGGGAGACCATACCAAGGGCAGATTTTACCCTTCGGAGAGTATGTGTTTGGTCTGGCCAAGCCTGGAGGAGTGAAGAATCGATCCTTGTGGACAGGAGGAATATGGGTTGGAAAGGACGACCGGGACATGGACGTGATTACATCAAAAGATGGGATCTTTACGTCAAGATCTGTGCGGCGCACACAACCAGCGTGGCGCGCACGTGAGACCCTTCAACTTCAGGGTTCTCCTTGGACGAAGAAAGCCCCAAGGCTAGGGCACACCGCGCATGCGGCACCGTTACCGAGAATCGTGGAAGAACCAGGCAAAGAGAAAGAAGGAGGAGAAAATGAGCCAGAGCCAGCAGGAGATGAAGCAGGATCTGATGTGGAAAGTTCAAAGCATGACACAATCAGTGATCTATTGCTGAGCAGTGGTCAACCTACACCTCGAAGTTCATCAACGGATTCCAACCAAGGCGGGGGACAAAAGAGAGAAACTGAAGGAGAAGAAAGAGAGGAACCTGCGAAAGCTAGTAAAACAGCAGATGCTGAGGAGCCACCAACGAAGCAACAAAAGACTGCGGAAAGTTCACCTACAAGTGCTGATCCTGGAAGTCCGAAAGGAAGTCTATTTCCACCGTTGTACGCCGGACAGGTAGAAGAACAGGAAGACGAAACAGGATATCATGAAGATGACCTTTGGGAAGAAAGAGTCTGGAAGGAATGCGAAGAGGAATATGAAGCGGATAGTGAAGGAGAAGAAGAAGATGAGGATCGACCACCGAAAGTCAGCGAAGAGGAACTTGAAAGATTGGATGCAGAGGCAGGAAAAGCTGAACTTGACAAACTCGCCAACATGAAGGTTGTGAAGACGATCAAGAAGGAAGAGTGTTCAGAGGAAGGTAAGTTTCTGACACTAAGGACAGTTTTCGATTGGAGAAAGAGAGATGGAGTTTGGAAGCGTAGATGCAGAATTGTGTGTCGGGAATTCCGTGCGGGAGCCCAGAGCACGGAGGAGACTTTTAGTCCTACGTCAGGACACGCAGCAGTGCGAATGATGTTTCTTTTTCATCTCATCTACAATTGGGAGCTTACAGTTCTTGACATTCGTGACGCATTCTTGCAAGTCACGCAGAAAGCTCTGATGTATGCTGATATCTCACCGTGGATTCGAACACTACTTGGTTTGGATGAAGACCACGTATGGAAAGTGGAGAAGTGTCTGCCAGGGCAAAGATCAGCGGCAGAACAATGGTTTACCCATTTGGTTGAGATTTTGAAGCGTTTGGGATTTGAGCAATTTGTTGGGATACCCTCAATCTTGAAGCACCGAGTGAAGAAGATTGCAGTGTCGATTCATGTCGACGACGAGCTAGTTGCAGGTGCAAAAGGCGAAGGAAGATGGCTGATATGCGAGCTAGAGAAGTTTTTCAAGCTCACAGTTGAGGGACCGTTCCCATCCCACCGGGGATCGGGAGAACAGCTTCATTACCTGAAGAGGACCTATGAGTTCCTTGAAGAAGGAATTTTGGTGACAGTGTCGAAGAAGCACTACGAGAAGCTTAGAGGACTCTACAAGCTGGGGAACCGAAAGCCAAGACAAACCCCAGAGCACCAGCTGATTGGAACAGTGGACAATTCCAAAGAACTGGAGGAGAACGAGTGCAAGAAGTTTCGTTCAGCGTTGGGAACACTGTTGTACATTTCCCAAGACCGATGGGATTTGCAGCATGTGACGAAGTGTTTGGCAAGTAAGATGTCGAAGCCAACGGAACAAGCGTTAACCTGTTTGAAACAAGCTTTGCTCTATGTGCAAGGAACAGAGCAACTGGGATTCCTACTGAAGTACACAAAGGTTGGAAACAAGATGATGGATGCGATCTATCAAAGAGAAGAGCAAGAAGAAGAAGACGAAGAAAAGAAAGGAACACACAGTATGGAAGTATTCACGGATGCAGATTGGGCATCAGACCGTGAAGCGAGATGGTCTACATCATCAGTGATTGTGTGTGTGAATGCAGTGCCAGTACTTTCGTATAGCAGGACCCAGAAAGCTACAGCTTTAAGTTCGGCAGAGTCCGAAGTGCTAGCATGCTCAGGAGGAGCATCAGAAGCGATGTTACTGAAGAAGTTGTGGATGTTTCTTGCAGGAAAGTTACTCGTGGAGATCCGGATGGATTCAAGTGCGGGAAGACAATGGATGATGCGAACAGGAGTCGGAGGACTCAAACATATCGATCTGAGAGTATTATGGCTTCAGCGAGGGGTGAAGAACAACAGCTTCAAAGCAAAGCCAGTGCCTACCAAATTAAACATTGCCGACTTGAATACAAAGCGCTTAGGAGTATCTCGAAGGAGATTTCTCATGTACCATATTGGAGCCATGGTGTGGAATGGAGAAAGTCATGAGCGTTATGGGAAAGAAGAAGCAATGGAACATGTGGCAGGTGAAGTTTGCCGAAGCCAAGTTCGAGCACTACGTGCAACTTTGTTGAGTGAGCGAGGAAGCAAGACGGCTAGAGCGATGTACTTGACAATGATGGTGAATATGATTTCTCAGATTGCAGGACAGCCAGACGATTTTGGAGGACGAGAACGAGAAGAACGAGAATTTGTTTTCATCTATGTGAAGGAAGTGAGTGGATGGATTATTCTTTTCAGTGTGCTACTAGGAGGAATTTTCGCTTTACTCTTGTTCTACATGGTCGAGCAGAAGGTGAACGAAGGACGACAGGAACCACAGGAAGAAGGACCACAGGAACCACAGGAAGAAGGACCACAGGAACCACAGGAAGAAGGACCACAGGAACCACAGGAAGAAGGACCACAGGAACCACAGGAAGAAGGACCACAGGAACCACAGGAAGAAGGACCACAGGAACCGCAGGAAGAAGGACCACAGGAACCGCAGGAAGAAGGACCACAGGAACCGCAGGAAGAAGGACCACAGGAACCGCAGGAGGAATTCACTATTCGAAGATTTGTGCAAAAGTATTGTCCGCCCGATGAGGATGATGTTCAACGTACAGCAAGGGCAGTCAATATGTATTTCCGTGATGCACCAGAGGATTCAGCGACAGGCAGTGGTAATGGGATGCCTGGAATCAGTACAGTACCAGCAAGCCAAATCCATGTGAATGACGAAGAGCTTGCAAGGCGATTTCAAGAATGGGGAATGGTTAATATCATTCCTATGGCACAGGATGTGGACGAACAGCTACGAGCACAACCCCATTATGTGTACACGCCTCATGGCAAGAGGTACCACCGACCTACATGTGCAGATGTGCAAAGGTCAGAGAGATTCACTTACAGTGCAGCAGTGCATGCGAGATTGCACTACCGTCCTTGTGGCAATTGCAGGCCCGGGACCATGTGAGTGAATGATGGAATGTTTCACTTTTCCGTACAGTGTGAGCTACAACGAGTACAAGCTTACCTGAGCGAAGTGTTACCCACGAGGAAGCAGTGGGAACAGTTTTCACCGAGTGCAAGGACTCCAATAGGGAGAGCACAACGAGGCCATCGCACAATACCAGATGAGCCCAACGACATACCTGTACAGTTTCTACAAACCCGTTACTGTAGAGTGATGTTGAGCTTACAGTTCGCACAACATCAAGGCGGGGTGTAAAGTTTTTCTACTACCTGGGAACCCCACCTACCAACCCAAACGGTTGATGAGCATGTGTGGATTTGTGACTCATGTTTTACCGACAGCGCCTTTACCGGTTCAAGGAAAAAGAGCGACTTGAAGTTTAGCAGAACCACTTTCTGGAGTCCGCTTTCCGTCAGCGCTGCGGTCACCGTCGTTGCATCGTCCAAGGCGAGCGTTGTCCATCGAGCTCATCGTCCGAGCCGACCGCACCATCGAGCGTCCGTGCCCCGCATCATCGCCGCGTCGTCGCCGTCGTCGCCCGTCGTCGTCGACGTGCCCGTTTCGCCGTCGCGTCGCCCGCCGTCGTTGCCGCCCGCCGTCGCACCGTCGCCGCATCGTCGAGCCCCCGCATTGCGAGTGCCCGTCGTCGTCCACGCGCAGGGCGCTTGGCATTGGGCATGCCGTCCTTTTGACATCCAGAGCAGCGTGCGCCTGCCGAAACCGGCTCGGTTCGGGGCTTCAGGGTTGCTGGGGAACTCGCAGGCAGCCTGTTGGGTGGGATTGGGGGTTCTGGGGGCTGAAGCTGGGCCCTCTCTGAAGATGTGCTACACCTTGGCGGACCTGCCTCAAAACCTCCCTGTGAAGAAAAGCATTTCAAAAGCTCAAGTGTTCCGCAAAGCATGGTGTTTTGCTTCATGGGGTTCGAAGTGTACGTGGTCATTTGGCACACTTAGCCCATTTTTGAGTCGTGGCTTCACCCGCAACTCTCCTTTTCCCAAAAGCAGTTTGGGTGGACTCGTTCGGGGCAAGCTTTTGTTTTTTCCACACTGGCGTTTGTCGTTTTCTTCGCGTTGCCCCGAAACGGTGCCATGCAGTGTAGTTCTATGTCCTCCAGTTTGTGGTGCAGGCTCATCAAAGTCCTATCTGCCGCTCTCGTTTGGTTTCTTGTAGAGCGAATGTTGGAAAATCGTCACACATGGGATTTGTTTCGGTGCCGGCCCGATTGGCCCCACAAAACACAACAAGCTGGACAATTGAAGTTCCGCGATAGCACAGCCCCAGTGTTTGTGAGCAGCCATGTGGCGTCGCGTCGTGGCCGCCGCGCTCGCTCTCGCTGTCTTGTGCGCGGATGATCGTCTACCACTGGCAAAGGAGGCTGTGTGCGGAACAGGCGGGCAGGATTGCCCCAGGTGCAACGCTTCGTTGACAAAGTGGTCCCACTGCACATTGGATGCCGAGCAGAGCTTCGCGGGTGGCACAACGGCCTTCCTGAAGAGCAAGGATTGCCCTGTCGGCATGGCTGTCTTTGTTAGCTCGACTCTTTCTCACAAGTATAACTCTTCCAAGATGGCAGATGCTGTGCTGACTGCTCCCGTACCACGTGGGGATGAGAAGGCGAGAGAGATGGCGTCACAGGTCCTGCGCGCTGCGAACAAGTTCTTGCTTGCGATGCCGGAAGAGACAGTTGTCAGAGGTGCTGAGATTGGCGTCAAGGCAGCCAGTCTGCAATCCATGTGTTTTGGGGTCTTTCTCCCAAACTCGGCGTGCAGCCTCTGCATCGAGCACGTTGACCTCCCAGACGCAAAGGTGCATCTGGAAGTGAGGCAGCAGGTGAATTGCACAGTCCAGGACTGGATGACTGGGCTGTGCAATTGTGCCGGTGCTGTCACACGCGGTCGGCTGTTGGGGCTCTTGTACTCGTACGTGCACGATATGCTCCTTATGATAGGCCTGAGTTTCCACATGCCGGACCCGACTCCCACGAACCTTCTGTTGACTTGCAATCCTGAAGGCAGCACATCCTTTCAGCCACCAGGAGTGCAGTGGGCCGATTTTCTGGCCACCAGCAGCGGTCAGTCAAAGCGAGGCTTGCTGGCGGGGTCAGATCGTGAGATTGCCGGCAAGGTGACTGTCTTCTTCGGGGCCATCATGATTGGGGCTCAACGCGCCCACCTGAAATCGGTGGAGCAGATGGCAGACTTTTGCATAAACAGATTGTCGTTGCAGAGAGGTGCGGCCCTTTGCATGGAGAAAGTGTGGTCCGAGCAGCAGAAGATGAGCGACGAGGAGCTTCGCGACTTCAGGAGGTTTGTGGCATCAGAGATCTTTTTCGAGCAGTTTGATGCCTTGTCAGCTCGCGTCGCGGACGTCGAGCTCGAGCTCGCAGAAGTGAAGATCAAGCTCGCGGACGTGAAGATTGGAGGCGCTCGTTTTCCTTCGTCCTTCTCACTTGCAGTTTGTCTTGTGATTGGCCATAACGAGATACAAACTTTTGGTGTTGTGCGAAGCTCTGCAGGCGCGACCTCAATCTCATCCGTCTGGGTGCGGGAGCTGATCCGCAAGGACTGTGCCGTGTGAGAGCAAATGCCGGTAATTGGAGCGCAAGGCTGGCCGAGAGCATCAGTAGCATTCAGCTGAACGCAGGGTTGGGGCACCTGTTGGGATCTGAGCTCCAGTGTGTCTCGGACGCTCGTCGAGAGGGGCGGAGCATGCAGCACGCCCATAGTGGCACACGCCTGATCGTGGGGGAGGGGAGGGGCGGGAGGGTGGGAGTTTCGGCTGTTCCTTGCTGGAGTGTTTCTGCAAGTTTGCTGTCAGTTCATGTCTGCCACAGTTTTGACCCACTCGACTTGCAGGATCGGACGGTCACAGGAAAGCTGAGGCCCGAGGAGGATTCCGATGCAAATCATGTCCACGTTGCAAGCAGTTCTCCAAGACGGGTGGCTGAATTTGTTCGCATCTCTGTTGAAAAAAAGTTGCCGACCCACAACTGAAGTTCGATGACGGCAAGGAATGCAAGGAGCTCGAGCCGACGGGCAATGCGTTCCAAGTGAAAGGAACCTTGTCTATCGCCGCGACCTTAGCTCCATTCGATTGCCTGAGGTTTCTGTATTTACGAGCGGTTCTCCACGCTTTTGAAAAAAGGTGGATGACTTGAAGAAGGCCCTGCGCTTGGATTTTGCACGTGGATTTAGCTCGTCCTGTCTTTGGAGTTGTTTGCAGATGCGCGATGAAAACAGTGAAGTTTAGAGTGTCCATGTTTGCACCTCTCGCAACCCATGAAATCAGGCAATGAAAGCGGAGAAGGAACTGTCCAGAATCCTTTGTTTATCGCTGCAGGCAATCGACCCTTCCTTGTCTCCGTATCAAGCGTCCAAGATCGGCATTTACAGCCAGAAGGAGGACTTTTCATGTCTCCCCTAGCCCTCCCTGTGCCGCGTCTCAGCGTGACTTCGCAGGACAAGGACTGGGTGAAGGAAGACGAAGACAGTGAAGTCAATCGCGGCACATCCAAGCCCAGCACCTGGTTTCGATGACTTTTCAGCTTAGGGTTTTTAGCCGTCGCCCCGCTCGCAGGTCAGATTGCTATGGGTTCGTGCTGCCACCGGCGCCCCATGTGCAGGGGCAGGCCAGGCGACTAAGACCTGTGGTAAGCCAGAGAAAAAAGCGCACTTGAGTAGCGATCGGCCGATCTGACTGTATAGAGCATTGCAAGCCTTGCTGCGCTTCCCCTCGAAGCTTTTGCAAGATGTGCAACGCATACTGAAGTTGGACTGCGACATGCAGCGGGGCCAACATGAGCCGTCGAATTTCTCAGACACCGGCAGGCCTCTGCATCGGGTCTGGGTCAAGAAGCGTTAGAGGCTGCGTGGCCACAGCTTCAGACGGTTGGGCTGCCGTTTTGGTTCGACAAGGGTGGTGTGCGCAGATGATAGATGAGCATTTTGAGAGCAGTGCATAGATGACTTTGAAACATTCTAAACCAAAGGTTTAAGGTCTCAAGTCCATTCAAGCCTTGTCTTACATTCAAAGCGTTGGTTTGGGGGCTGTCTCCTGTGTCGTTATGGTGGATCGTCTGAGCATGGCTGAGCGATGGCAGCCGATGCGTGGACGGGGTCTTGGGAAGTTGTCGTCTACCGGTCCGCCCGCCTTGTAGGCCAGATGTAGGTACCTCAAAGCCAGGAATAGTTAGGTTTGTGAAGGCTTCCTGGAGGATGTAGGCTGTTTGCTCTTCTGCTGCTGCAATTTTGCGGAAAATTCGGGATATGTGACAAGTGCGATGTTTCTGTTGACGGACAGTGCGTCTGAGGTCGGCACACTCTTCTGGCGCCCCAAGTGGCGGCCCGGACAGGTCCTGCGCGCCGCGATTTCTTTATAGGGCAGACAGGAATTGCTGGATTAGTGAGCGGACTTGGTTGCAGCATCCACTGCCTTTGAAAATCTAGGCATTGCGCCCCTACCACACGCCTGAACCCTTGGTCTCTGCGCCGGCAGCTGAAACGGCTTTAAAGAAACAGCCTTCGAACAGTCACACAGACATTGACTGGTTTCTTCTTGCCCCAACGTCACTGGAAGAGCTCGCCTCAAGCCCTGAAATAAGCACAATTTTCCAAGAATCCCTGTTAACCCTATTCAACCCTCGGTCCTAATGTAGGACATCTCCCTCAGCGCAGGTGGCGAGTCCGAACACTTGGGGCTCAGGTGTGGCCTGGGTTTCTTTGTGGTAAAACGCAGCCATCAGCCCTGGTTGGACATGGCCCATGCTTAGATGCTTGAACACACCACATCCCTAAGCAACCTTAGCACTTTCGTACTTCCCAACCGTATAAGAGCTATAAACCTTACCTTACAAGAGGCGTCCCCCAGCAGCACCCCAACTTACCTCCCCCGCCCCTGTTCCGAAGTCAACTTAACGGCCTCAGGTGGCTTCGTGTTTTTTTTTGGGGCTTCGGGGCTTTGGGGCTTTGGGGTGCTCGATGTTCGGACGTGCCGGGGGAGCATTCGGAGTTCATTCGCGGATGCCTCTCATAGAACCTTGTATATTCCTTATATTCTTGTGTTGCCACCAAGGCTGTTGAAATCCTGCCGCCCTCCACCCCTGTATTCTTGGCTGATGTTCATGTTGTGCATGCGTTGCCTTGATGATCATGCGTGGTGTCGGTAGCAGAGCAGTTGCAAACATGGATGCAAATCTCGGGCGCCGCTACGTGCCCCGACCATCTTTGGATGCGAAGCGTCGGAGGGTCGGCGATGACCTTTACAATCGCTACGATGAGCGCCTGCAGCACCTGCCCGATCACACGACAGACCTGTACGAGGAAAGCTTGCGGTGTGCACAGCCGAAGGCCCCGCCCATGGCCACTCCTAGCCATCACAGGGATGCGGGCAACTGGATGGATGAGATGCAGGAGCCTGCCCGAGGCTCCGGCAAAGGCCCGGGCAAAGGCCCGGGCAAAGGCCCGGGCAAGGATGAGGGCCGAGAGGATAGGCGGCAGCCCAAGGACGAGGGCGGCCACGAAGAGCTGCAGGCGCAAGAGTGTTTTTGTGGATTTGTTGGTAGCTGCTGTCGAAGAGTGTAGGTGAGTGCAGCACGCTCCCCACGTCTTGCTGCATGCGAGCTTTTGTCACCGTGATTGACTGATTTATTCATCGGAAGGGCTCATCAAGTTCTGTTTCAGGGTGGACTGTGAAGGGAGTTCGGTTGCTGCTGCAGGCCATTGCTCAAGTCGATGTTGGAAGGCAAACCAAATTGGTCAGACTAAGCGTGGATCCAAGATCGTCAAAAACACGGTGAAGTCTTGCTTTGCTAAGTCGGTGCAGGGAGAGTGAGGATAAGATGGGTCTTTGGCCAAGTTCCGATGCGTGTGATCCCGGCAGGCTGGTGAAGAGGGCGACGTAACGGCCCATTCGGCTGCTTTCTGGGCACGGAAGATGTTCCGCGAGGGCAAGGTCGGCCTAGACTTAGCCGGGTCTCCGAAAGAGGCGTTGCTGCGTTTCCACGAGCGCTACACTGGCGCCCAGGACTTCGTGCTCCATTGCCGTGAGCTGCCCAATGGCCAATTTTTCGATCTGGCTCAAGACAAGACCCGCCAGAACAAAAACCGACGCGATGGCTGGGAGGTCGTGCTGACTACGCCCTCCTTCCTGAACTTAACCTACGAGGGGCGCGGACCAACGCCTCGGGTGGCCCAGACAGCAGCGTGCAGTGAATGGGTGGCAAACATTGAGGTCCTAGCTGCTGCACTGAAGCTTCCGCCCACATTGGCGGAGATCAAGCAGACCCTGACCTCCTCTCTAACCATGGCCCAGAGGAGCTTCATCATCCGGACCCTGAAGCGTGAGGTCCCGGAGTTTCTGGCAGAAAAGGCACGCGAGGTGCACCAAGCCTTCCGAGACCTTGGCTGCAGTCATGCTTCCTGGGATGAAGAAGCTGAGCGCGCCAGCGGGTAGGACGTGAACCATGACAACCGCAAAGTGGCTCAATGTATATAGCTTCCGAGTAACCTAGATCTTTCGGGAGATTTGCGGCCTTCCGCGGCTGACAGAAATAGATCATGAGAACCATCACGTTTGTGAGGGTTGAAGGGCATGCTAAGGGTGGCTCGGCGAGTGTCCCTATGAAATACTCTCTCGGGTCCGGAGGCATTCGCAGGCGCGGCAGTGGCTCTCGACATGTGGCGAAGAAGGACGAGGCAGACGGAGCTCTCTGGGGAGAGCGCCTCTAACCTCTTTCAAAACACTTTCAACACTTCCTCTAAGCTCTTTTGTTGCCTCGAACTCGCTTAGGGATTGAGCCCGTTCTCTCTCACATCCTTCAGACTGCTAAGAGAAGACGACCTCTTGCACGTCCCCTGAACCCTAGAAGGCCTCGACTTGAGGTCGTGATGGTTCGACTGTTCCTGTCTCCGACACTCTCTGTGCGGTATTGTGCGGTGCCTCTGTCCTTATATAAGCCCCCGAAATCCATAAACCTGTGGCTGTCCGGGGGTTTTGCTGTCACATAGCTGTAGTCTGCACGGTTGCGAAGGCCCTCAACAAGCTTCTCGGAAACGTCCTGCTTTTGCTGGTGTGTCCAACACGAAAGCACAGCAAGCGCACTGCGCGCATCCCACATGAGGTAAGTTGGCACATGCGCATGGCTGAAGCTAGCTCAAAATCTGACAAATTGAAGCATGTGCTTAATAGCCTCTTCCGTATGTAGGCGTTCCTTATCATGGCCATCTGAACACGAACCCTTGACTTTTGACGCGAAAGCCTGAGGTGATCTCTTGAGCCGATTCGGAAAAGTGAAGAAAACAAAGCCGAGTTCAGAGTGCCGAGGTGGGGCTTGCCGGGCCCGCCGGGCTTGCCATGCAGAGGCGCCAAGGATCCCTGAGCTACCTTGTCTTCGGTGAGGATCTGGAGGCAAAGCGCCAATCGATCCCAGCCGCCCCAAGGGTCCCGAGGTTTATCTAGGACGGTTTTGGGTGGGTTGCTTTCCATGATCAGAGGCTTATTCACAAGCCACAGAATGCATATAAGAGGCTTGTCTAAATAGCAACTTCCCAGCTTGAACTGTCCTTTAGTTCCGAGCTTGGCTCTGAGTATGGAGTAAGCATGTCGGGTTTTGGGTGTGGGGTTCAGGGTTCTGCCGAAACCCACAACCCAACCCTCCTTTTTCGGCGGCCCGCTGCCATCACTGCCAGGCACACCCGCCTCTGCCGAGACCTCCTAGAGCTTTGCCGACTCGGCGGGCGTTTGAGGGTGCAAGAGGGTGCAAAGGAGACCTCCCTGCGGAGCCCTGAGGGGGCTTTTGGTGCCGCTGCGCTTTCTCACCACTCAAAAATCACTATGTGTTGGCCTTCCGCCTCTGGCGCCTGCATGGCCTGTTGCCTTTGCCACCTTGGCGCTTGGGTCAGTGTCTCGTTTGCGTTTAGTGTGCCTGTATGTACATCTAGTTGTTGCAGTGGCCTTTGCTCGTTCTTTGTTCATGGCATTGAGTCTGGGTGGTTTGTGACGCACAGACTTGCGCATGGGCCCGCGTTGGTAATGTCGGGTCGGAATGTCAGGCTATCGGACCGCAGTCTACATCATGTCCAAAGACTTCCGGTTTGGTCTAAGGTTCACGGATTCATGCTTCAGTCAAGGGTTCAGGCTTTAGGGTTTCGGGCAGTTGAAACTAATTAGATTTTGGGCTTCGGGTTTAAGGCGGTTTGGTTTCTGGCTTTGTGTTTGGAGGGCATGTTGTATAAGTTTTTGAGTTTGTTTGGAGAGGGTCTGAATAGAGCTGCCAGTTCACATCCGAGCTCACTGATTGAGAAAATTATCAGAAATAATTCAGAAGTTATTTCAGAGAAGTGCCAAATATGTTTTCAAGCATATATTGAAACTATTTCATAAACAAATAAAGGAAAGAACTTTTCAAAAATACTTTCAGAAACACTTTCACAAGCATCAATAAAGTCGTAAAATAGTTCAGAGATTTTCCAGACATCAATTATATGAAGGAATCTGGACCGATCCAGCTCATGGGCTTCACTGCGATAGATATGCAATAGGATGCCAACTGTCGAGATTTCTCGCGGCTGGAAGCACTGCAAAGGTCGGAACGAGGGGGCGAGGTGTTGGACCCTTTTCTGAGATGCGCTAGTGGGGCTCGTATGGAACGAAAGGACCGGCCCAGGGCGCTTCGGTCCGAAGCTCTCTTGAAAAGGTGAAGAAAGCTCTCGGATGCTACGAATGTCATACTTTGCTGCTAAGGGCCCGCTCCTTGATGATCATCTGCGAGCCGCGGCTTCGGTATTGATTTCGTTAAGACCGCCCCGGAAAGCATGAGCGACGACGAAGCGGTGCCCTTTCGTTCCAGGATCTGGCTGGCTTTCTCGAAGCATCCTTGTATTCGACAATTGGCTGAGCAGCAAAACAGCTGTTGCGCCCAGTCCGCCAGGATGCACCTGTTCTGCACGCTTGTACAGCCCCGCAGGGCCCTGCACGTCCTTCGGGCCCTAAGCGGGTTTCAGGAATCCCCTAGACTGCTTCAATGCGGGTCGAAAGTATTCACTGTTGTAAAAGCTGCGCATCGACCGCCTCGGCCTGGCCATAAGATCTACAGAAGCCCGTTGGAGGTTTCTTTGCACAGACAGACTTAGGGTTGAGAATCAAGGGACTTTGGGGGGCCTTAGGTTCTGCAGGTAAAACCCTAGAAAGTTCTTAGGGCTAGTGACGGCTAGTGTCTAGTGGCTCAATTATCGGTGGCTTGGGGAGAGGGGATCCACATGTCTATGAGGGAGTCTTTTGGAAAACTGGTCCAAAAACATGGTAGCACGCGCTGGAGTGCCCTGCGTTTTGTCGGCATGGGTGTGGTTAAGTTGGAAAGTGTAAAAAACCGAGGTTGTTGACTCATTCCGGTTTTCGGAACCAGGAAGACACGCCACTGATCCCTCGAAGGGCGGGTGCTTTTTCTTGAAAATGAGTGTTTCGCCTAGGCGGGAGCCTTGTTTTGAAAGGCAGGAAAACCGAAAAGTTGTGTATACCATGTTTTAGGTGTTTTGAGCTTATTTGTAGGGATTTTTGAGGGTACTTTTTGGGGCTTGCATGTCCTTGTGTATGTGTCGAAAAGAGGCTTTGGGAAGGTTTGGGCTTGGACTGCTTTGAAGAGAGGATTTGGGAATGTTTGGGCTTGGACTGCTTTGGGGATGCTTGGGCTTGAAGGTTTGGTCAAAAAGGCTTTGGGAAGGTTTGGGCTTGGACTGCTTTGGTGGGCTTGAAGGTTCAGGCAAGAAAGGATTTTGGGATGCTTGGGGCCGGCTTTTTTTCGGGGGGGAGATGCCTGCAGCAAGTGCTCTGTATATTCGCAACATGGATATTCCCAACATGGATATTCCCAACATGGATATTCCCAACATGTATATTCCCAACATGTATATTCCCAACATGTATATTCCCAACATGGATATTCCCAACATGGATAGTCCCAACCCCCCCACCCCCCCCAACCCCCCAAGCTGGAAACCCCAGGAAACGCAGGGCACACGAGGGTGCGTCCTACCAAGAACATGCTGGGGACTTTCGTGCGAGTAAAGTGTGTTACGGAAACTGGCGGGTTGTAACGGAAACTGCCCCCCTGAAAACGACACAGAAACTACGAAAGGGCGTAACGGAAACTGGCTTCGGGGCGTTACAGAAACGGCGTCGGGGCGTAACAGAAACTACCAAGCAAAACTGCAACGGCAACCAAAAAGAGATGTAACCGAAATCACGGAAAACTTAAACCGAAACCTACAAAAACCGGCTACGGAAAGGCGCACCAGAAGGGCACGGCTCTTTTTTTTTCCTGGCATGCAAAGGCCGTTCTGCAGGTACTTTTGGTCAGCGTCGCCTTGCGGGACACAAGAGGGCTTAGTGCTTCCAGGGCCTGTAGGGCCAGGGTTGAGGGTTCAGGGCTGAGGGCTCAGGGCAAGCCGCAAAACCCACAGTGCCTGCAGCCGGTCGCCCGGATCTCCGCAGAGCAGGCAGACTGGAACTTCTTCAAGTTGTCCCCTAAAACCCTAAACCCTAGACCCTAAACCCTGAACTCTAGGGGAAAAAGGGTTTACAGTTCAGGGTTTAGGGTCTAGGGTTTAGGGTTTTAGGGGACTACTTGAAGAAGTTCCAGTCTGCCTGCTCTGCGGAGATCCGGGCGACCGGCTGCAGGGGTTGTGGGTTTTGCGGCTTGCCCTGAGCCCTCAGCCCTGAACCCTCAACCCTCGCCCTACAGGCCCTGGAAGCACTAAGCCCTCTTGTGTCCCGCAAGGCGACGCTGTCCAAAAGTACCTGCAGAACGGCCTTTGCATGCCAGGAAAAAAAGAGCCGTGCCCTTCTGGTGCGCCTTTCCGTAGCCGGTTTTTGTAGGTTTCGGTTTAAGTTTTCCGTGATTTCGGTTACATCTCTTTTTGGTTTCCGTTGCAGTTTTGCTTGGTTTCCGTTACAGCCGCGCATTGTTTCGACTCGCCGGGCCGTTGTTTCCGTTACATTTTTTTTGCTTTCCGCTACATTTTGCCGTTTGTTTCCGTTACAACCTTTTCTAGTTTCCGTTGCAGCGGCCACCCCTTTCGTGCGCCCATGCCCAGAGCCCTGGAAGGTCGGGCCGACGAACCCAATGAGCGTGTGAAATCTCAGCCCTCCATTGAGAAACGAAAACAGAGAAAGGGGGGGGGGAAAGGGTACTCATTCGGGGCGATGTTGAAGGTGAGGGCAGTGTGAGTGGCTTCTTGCGGCGCTTCCTTTGCTTTGCTTTCATGGTTAGGCTCGGTTTAATCACGGGGCCGTTGCATCATGATTAGCAGGAGCCACAGGCTGTGACTATATCAACATGCGTAGCAATCCGTGCCCAAACGCACCGCACAGGCCCCCGGGCGGCCGGGGCGACTACTTGCAGGCATGCAGTCCTCTGCGGCACATGACTTCATCATCAAAGCTGACCTGCATCGTGA